CCAGGGCCTTTTATAGCTTTTGCCATGTGAAGGGCATCCCATTGTTCTTACTGTGGAAAATTACAGCAACAAGATGGAGTTTGGAGTCATATGGGCAAGTCACATGTTCATGCCCAATTTCCCTCAGTCATTGCAGGAAGCCATTACCTACATTCCAGACAGCACGTTTACATGATAGTCCCCAGCGTAGATGGGCATCTCCCATGGTCCATTGTCAACCAAGTGTTTCTTGATGAACCACTTAATTTGAACAGTCCCTCCAAGATGTGCTGGGCGTTACCTTGTGGGTGTTACCCCAGGAGCAAACATTTGCAATCCAAGTATAGAGCCAATACTTATAGCTTCACATACAAAAATGAAACATGCACACAGATAGCATAATCATAACCAGCAAATCATAACCTTTTCATAGACACCTCATCTGACAACCTTTGTACAAGATTTGCTGCAAATATATAACAGTGGTTGCAACAATGCTCTATATGGTCATATTGTAGTCAGGTAACCACAACTCCATACTTCCGCACACAGATGCGGAACTTACATTTCACACTAATGCTGCGCTGTAGTTAAGATCTCCACCTGGGAGCTTGCACACCTCCTGTATGAAACTCAGGGGGGGTGTTGCCCCCCCTTGCTCCCCTAATTGGCACCCCTGCATCATCCCCAACTCAAGAGGGGAGGGCATGCAAAGGTCAGGTTCACTGGCCTGGACACCAGTTCCTCACATGGGGGTGAAATACAGACAGGCATCATGGGCACAAACTGGGGCAGTGGACTTGGCAGCTCTGGCCTGTGCATTTCCCCATCTCTGTCTCTTTGCAGTGAGATTGGTGGTTCCCTAAACCACAGACCAGAGGCTCAGAGACCAGGGTGGCTGTGTGGCCTGCATATGGGACACACGAAGTCTAGAGCTCTACCGGTCTCTGGGAACATTCCACCCCATTGTCCCAGAAACACAGAGTGACCTAGATTCCAATTGCACCTGGAAGGTTTCTTCTCAACTCCCTCCTGGGGGCTCCCCTTCCCAAATCCCGCCTTCCCGTTTCCACAGGCAGTTGTGTTTGCCTAGCCTGATTTCTTCCTGTTCTCCAAGGTCCTGACAGGGCCAAGCTCCCCGTCAGCCCCTGCTGATGATCCGACTCTCTACCCCTCCACTATTATAGGACAGAGGTCCCCAAACAGTGGGGTGCACCCCCCTAGGGGCACATGGAGGAATGTTTGGGGAGCAGAGCTGGGGCCCGGGCCAGCTGCCACAGGGGACGGGGAGGGAGCGCCACCCAACTCCGCTCCTGGCCCCAGCTGTGGCCCCAGCCTCGTCCCCTTTACCCTGTCCTCCCCCCAGCAAGAGCTGCAGCCCTTCTCCCAGCCCCAGCGGAAGGGGGGGGGGTGCAGACAGGGGTAAGGGGGGACATGAGATAAAAAGTCTGGGGACCACTGTCATAGTAGATAGAAACAATCAAGTTGGATATTCGCAACAAGAAAAAATAACTGGGTTTCTTTAGCCTCCAATTTTCGTGCTCTCTATGGTTCTGCCTAGAGCTGGTCCAAAAAAAAATCATTAGTTTATGCTGAAATTTTGAAGTTTTGGATTTCCCCCCATCCCTTTCCTGGCCCTTCTTCCCCTTGAATACAATAGACAATGATATCTGGGGGTTGATTTTTTTCTCTCTCACTTTCCATCTTTCACTCTAACTTCTCTGAAACTAAGGAAGTTTTGAAAAGTTAGAGACGCAAAAAGAAGAGAGAGAAAAAGAAAATCCAGCTCAGTAACTCTGCCAGCTTCATACTGGCAAGGCAGAGCCCTAGTCCATGAGCTGCCCTGTATCTCATGGGTACAGTCTGAGCTGGGAATCGTCGCCATGGACCCAGAAGAACGGGAAGATTCTCTCCCCAGCAAAAGAGGCTGGCGGGAAAGTGAAGATTGAGGCCCAGCTATTGGCATCAAAAAATGCCACCTGGCCCCCTTCATAATCCAGAGAAACCCGGATCCTCTTGGGGCTCCAGCTCAGGGTCAGAGGGCAGGTGAAAGCGAAGTCCTGATTCGTGTGAAGGGACAGAGCCCAGATCCCCTCCTCAGGGTCACATCTGATCCATTCTTCTCTTCTTACAGACTCTCTGGCCACCCCCACAGCCCACCAGTCGCCCCCATCCCCCACCTCCCAGTAATGTCTCCCCGAGATGAATCCTTCACAGCCCAGCACACAGGGAGCCAAATTAAATCGCTTGGAATTGTGGGGCAGAACGTGCCAGCCACCCCAGCTAACGGTTTTCCCATCCTCAGAAAGGGTGAGCAGCTCATGAGCCGTGTCTGGATCCAGAGTCACATTTGCTGGGAGGGGAGAGAGAAAACAGCAGTGTCAGAGGCAGAGCTTGGCCCTGGGGGTGGCTGGGCTCATTTCTCACACACCCCCAGCAGCCCCGCCCTGGCGGGGACCCTCCCAGATTTCCTGCCTCTTTATCCCGGGTCCCAGAGAACTCTCTCTCTCTGCTAGGGCTGAGCCGGGATTTCACTGCAGCGGCCTCTTCCAGGCACTAGGGGGTGCTATTGTAAGAAGACACAGGAGCGCCAGAAGCTCCCTAAAAGTGTGTGTGGGGGGGCCACTGGTACCTGAATCATGGCCCCCACCCCCTTTCCCTAATGCCCCGCTCCTTCCCCAGGCCCCACCCACCCCTTCTCCCCAAGCCCCGGCCTTTGCACTGCCCCTTCTCCCCGAGGCCCTGCTCCCGCACTGCCTCTTCCCCCGAGGCCCCACCCTTGCACCACCTCTTTCTCCGAGGCCCCACCTCCACCCACCCCTTCTCCCCAAGCCCCCACCATCACACCGCCTCTTCCCCTGAGTAGCTGCCCCATGCTCACTCCTCTACGCCCCCACCATCGCTCGCCCTTACGCCCAGTTAAAAGTGATGGGGCCACAGCTCACTGGTCCCTCCCTGTTCCGCCCCCCCGGGGAGAGGGCTGGAGAGAAAACAGGGCCATGGCATGGAGAACCTAGCAGAAGTTCTACCCCCGGAGATTGCAAAGTGGTCGGAGCACTGACTCTCAGTCAGTTAATATGGGGGCTAGACAGGGCGCTAGCCCTCACAGGTTGCTGCAGCACTAGGAAGACTGCGAGCATCATTGAAGTCTTTTCACCCGTTTCTGTGGGGGATTACTGGCGCGTGGGTGGCCACAGGTGGGCTCATGGGTACAAGTGTACACTGCCCCTGCAACATAAATTGAACTCTGCCTTTCTGAGTGATGCAGAAGTACTAACGCTTTTGTAACGCGAGATCTTCTGAAAGATTTTTAAACTGGTCCTTGGTATCACTGAGTAGCTGACTTAAGGGAGAGGTCAGTGGCTCTGTTGACAGGAGCTCTCCAGCCGACATAGCGCTGTCGCTTAGGTCGGTATAAATATGTTGTTCAGGGGTGTGGATTATTCACACCCCTGAGTGCCGTAGTTATACCGAAGTAATTGTGTAGTGTAGACCTGGGCTCAGACACTTAGGTTTTTTTCCTACCTCTGCACCAAAAAGTTATAAAAATCTGACAACAATAAAAGGAACTCATTTTTTAGTACGGCTACATCTTGAGGAAACATTGAACAAATGACTCCAATTTGCTTCTCAACGTTAGTGCAGATTAGGGTGACCAGATGGGATGAAGAAAATATCGGGACACATGGGGGGTGGGGGAAGGGGGTCCCGCCAGCGGAGAAAAAGAAAAAAAAAGTGGAGTCCCGGAGTCCCACCAGCAGAGGGGGGAAAAAAAAAAAAAGCAGAGCCCCGCCGGCGGACAAAACAAAACAAAACCAGGAGTGTGAAATATCGGGACAAACGCCTAAAGATCGGGACGTCTGGTCACCCTAGTGCAGATTCTGTTGCAGCGATCATTAAAACAATTTCCTTACGTACATGGATTTTAGTTCTCTTTGAAAGTTATTAGCAGCTGATAGCTCCATATATCATACGGCCAGGAGGGACCAGAGGTGAAAGTAAGCTGGTACAGTCCAATACGGCGTACCAGCAAGAGCCAGTACGCCGTGTTGGACCGCACTGGCTTCCGCGGCCGGGATTAAAAGGGCTCTGGACTTCCCGCAGCGGCGGGAGCTCCGGGACCTTTAAATCCCGGCCCCAGCCCGGCAAGGCTCGGGGCTCCCCGCAGCCGCAGGAGCCCCGAGCCCTTTAAATCCCAGCTGGAGCTGCGGTGGGGATTTAAAGGGCCCGGAGCTCCTTGGCGGCCGGAGCCCCGGGCCCTTTAATTTGCCCGTGAGCCCCAGGGGCTTCCAGCCACCTCTGCAGCTGGGAGCCCCGGGTTGATTTAAAGGCCCTGGGGCTCCCAGCCACAGCCGATGCCCCAGGGCCTTTAAATCTTGAGAGGCCCTGCCTCTTCCGGTTGAGGCCACGCCTTTTCCGGATGAGGCCACACACCCCCTCAGGACTCCGGCAGTACCGGTAAGTCCTGTAAGTTACTTTCACCCCTGGGAGGGACCATAGTGATCACCTAGTCTGACCTCCTGCATAACCTAGAACTTAAACAAAAGAATTCCTGTTCGAAGTAGAGCAGATCTTTTTAAAAAAACATCCAATCTTGAGTTCAAAATTGCTAGGGATGGAGAATCCACCACAACCCTGGGTAAATTGTTTCAATGGTCAGAGGCAGATTATCATTTCGTGGGACCCTGGGCCAGAGCAAGTGGGGCCCCTCCCCACCCCTTCCACCTGCAGTCCCTCCCCTGCCCCTCTCCCTCAATTGGCCAGGACCCCTGGGCACGGGCCCTGTTGGCCCAGTGGCTAATCCGCCACTGCCAATGGTTAATTAGACTCACTGTTAGATATGTACACCTTATCTCCAGTCTGAATTTGTCTAGCTTCAATTTCCAATCATTGGACCTTGTTATACCTTTGTAGCTATATCTCTCAAACCCCTTGACCAAATTACCCCAGATTTGGGCCAATTTTTCTAAGTGCTCTGAAGTTCATATGCTGTCTCATATTGTCTTGAAAATTGCTGAGTTGAGGTCTGGGGTTAGGTTAGTTGCCTAAATTTGGGGTTGTTCTAGCAAGGAGCTCCAACAAGGATTTTGATGCTGTTCAAATTAATACTGCCATGCGCTACCAGAGATAAATCTGCAGTGAGCATTATTAATTTGGGCCACATCAGAGCCATAGCTAAGAACATAAGAACACAAGAACAGCCACACTGGATCAGACCAATGGTCCATCTAGCCCAGTATCCTTTCTTCCAACAGTGGCCAATGCCAGGTGCTTCAGAGGGAATGAACAGAATAGGTAATCATCAAGTGATCCATCCCCTGTTGCCCATTCCCAGCTTCTGGCAAACAGAGGCTAGAGACACCATCCCTGCCCATTCTGGCTAATAGCCATTGATGGACCTGTCCTCCATGAATTTATCTAGTTCTTTTTTGAACCCTGTTATACTCTTGGTCTTCACAACATCCTCTGGCAAGAAGTTCCACAGGTTGACGGTTCATTGTGTGAAGAAATACTTGCTTTTATTTGTTTGTTTTAGTTTAACTCCAGGTGTGCAAACTAAGGTTATAAAAACTATAATGATGTGACATGATATTTGAGGAAGTCTGTATCTGCAGAACCCCTCGTTACAGTGAGTCATCACGGGAATTCTAGAGCACTTAGAGAAAGGCTGTTAAACTTGTATCAACCTTAATTAACTAGAGCAGAGCAAAGCTACCTCTCTGCTACAATTTCCAGCTATCTTTACCCAGAGACTTACCCCATTCTCTTTCCAGTTCAGATGACAGAGTGTCTACAGAAAGGAGAACAGAAGTGAGATTTCTGCTGTTCATAAGCTTAACAATGCTTTAACGTTCTGACGAAAGTCAGAGGGAAAATCAACAGGCATACATGGGCTCGGTCTATTCTAAAAAACGTAGGTCGACCCAGCTACGTCGCTCAGGGGTGTGAAAGATCCACACCCGTGACAGACGTAGTTAAGGCAACCTAACTCCCAGTGTGGACAACACTAGGTTGAAGGAAAAATTCTTCCGTCAACCTAGCTACCACCGTTCGGGGAGATGGATTACCGACGTCGAAGGGAGAAGCCCTCACGTCAGCGTAGGTAGTGTCCACAGCTGCGCCGCTGAAGTGTTTCAAGCACAGACAAGCCCTGAGACAAGGAGAGACCAATGAAGGAGACCAAAAATTTCAAGTAAACCAGATTAAATTGAAAATAAATCAACTATATAAATTATATATAAACACCGTTCTGGACTCCAGTCCTACTTTCCACCAAGGAGTTCAGAACACATCATTAGATTATGCATGAGACACCCTAGAGAGTCTAATCATTATTATCACCCCCACTTTAAAGGAGGGAAAACTAGAGTAGAGAGATATTTTGTGACCTCTCCGAGGTCACATAAGCAATCAGTGGCTGGAATTGGACCCAGATATCCTGACTCCCAGCCCTGGGCGCCATCTGCTGGATTCGTTTAGTTTCTCTCTCGTATTTAATAATAGTTGATTACGCTCTTGTCTATTTACCCATATGCAGGACCACACCCAGTTTGGGGCTGTCAGACAGGAGGACGTGACACTGCTCCTTTGACCCGGATCTTGCATTTCTTATTATTTTGGACAAACAGGTTAATTAAAAAAAAAAATAGCTTCCTCATCAATTTTGTTTGTGTTGTGGAATTCCCCGGCACCTTCCCTTGGTTTAGAAACGGTAACAGAATGCTGTATTGCCATTTAACTGGGGCTTGCATTAACAGCTATTTTGCCAGATCCCATCTCCTACAGACACAGATGCCCCGATGCACAAAGGGACTTTCCTGTTTCCCCCCACCTCATTGGGGGTTTAGGAACCTAAGTACCTTTGTGGATCTGGATCACAGACCCCTTTCTCAGTTTGACCTCCTAGATCCCTCCTTAGTACCTTTGAATTTCTGAAGAGTCTTCTTTAGAATGGTATATTTCTTCATGAAAATATGGATTCCCTCTTCCAGCCCAGAAGAAATCTCCACTGGCTGCTGGGACTTCCACTTCTCCCACCTAGAAAGAAGAAAATTATAGTTATTTTAATGTATTGCTAATGGTTTCTATTATCATCCACTTTTATGTGAATTTCATTCTTGCGAAAGATGTCAGAGTACGCGCCCAGGAGAATGAATGGCTCCTTTGAACTGGGAAAGGAAAGGCGCATCTGTGGATAAGATGGGACTTCTGCTTCCATGCCCTGTTCACTCTTTGGTCTCTATACCATGGATGTCAATGAGCAAGGC